GCCCAGCCAGGGGCCCATACGGAATAGTGGGTACCCAATTCAAGTTGGCGAGGCTAAGGGCGAGGGCGTGAGACCCCCTGAGGTTCGGAGCCCCAAGGCGGCGGGCAGCCGCCCGCCTGGCGGCCGCGCGGGCGCCGTGGCAGCCGCGAAGCTTGCAGCCCAGCCCCAGCCAGGGCGACCGCAGGCCAAGCCCCTCCAGCTGGCCAAGCTGCAGCGCACGGAGGCTGTCAGGAAGCTTAGCCCCCTCACCAAGTGCTGGCGCTGGCTCGGGAGGATCGCCAGGCAGCTCAGTGCGGCTGCTGCCGTCAGCTCACCCCCTGAGGGGCACGGGGGCTACATGAAGCACCTGGTGCAGGTGGCCAAGAGCTTGGGGCCCAAGTTCGAGCAGGCGGGCTGCTCCATGTTTGAAGGCACTAAGCTGGACTCGCTGACTGTGGTGATCCAAGAGCCCTCTGTGCAAGGGCAGGCCTTCCTGCAGATGATCGAGAGCGCGGCGGCGAGACTCTGCAAAGAAGAAGCCAAGGCGGCCAGGCTGCGCTGGATGGACTACGTGGACGTGGCCTCGACGAAAGGGGCGAAAGGAGCCCGCGATGTCATACAGGCAGGACCGCGATCAGGTGCTGGACTCGGTGATCGCGCACTGCCCCGACTGGCTGGCGCTCCCCGTTGTAGTCCAGCAAGCCCATAACCAGATCCGCATAGAGTGGAAGGCCCTCTGGAAAGAAGCCGATAGGGAGCACAGGACCAGACCAGCCGATTGGATCTGCTCCATGGCGCTGCCCCCGTTCACGGTGGGCGACAGCCTCGAGGCGGCGAAGTCGATCCCGAAGCAGACCGCTCTGGGCTGGGATGCGTTCCACCCGCGGCTGGTCCTCTCCCAGGGCAGGCCCTGCGCCGATATGATGGCAGAGGTACTCACGGCTTGGGTGTTGCAGCCGCAGCCCACGGCCCTCTTCACCACGGTGTTCCTCTTCCTGGGGAAGCCAGACGGAGGCCGCCGCCCGATCGGCCTCATGGGCAAGTGGTTGCGCATCTGGTGCAGGGTGCGCCGCCGCTACGGTGTCAAGTGGGAGAAGGACCACCAGCCCACTTTGGTCTGGGGCAAGGATGAGAACAGCTGTGACATGGCGGTCTACCCACACAACCTGGGGCTCGCGCTCGGCCGCCAGCTTGGCTTTGGGGCAGCCTCAGTCTATCTCGACGGCAAGTTCTACGCGCGGACCGACCACGACCGTTTCAAGCGAACTGCCGAGTTGGTGAGCTTGATGGGCCACCGCTACGAGGAGCTCTTCTGCCAGGACCTCTGCGTCGGCGCCCAGTACCAGGTGCAGAGGCCGCGCTGTGACCCTGGCGGGGCGCGCCGCTCGCGCGGCTGGGACGCGGGCGCACTCGTGGCGCCCGCGGGCACCCTCGTCTTCACGGACGGCTCCTGCGTCAACAACGACCTGATGATCAGGAGCGCGGTCTGGTCGGTGGCAGTTCTCACGACCGTTGGCGAGTGGGTGGTGCAGGCGAGGGGCGCGGCGCCCCTCCCGTTCGCGGGCGGCCATCGAGCGGGGCGACCTCATGGAGGTGGAGCTCTTCGGCAACCGCCTCGTGGGCCAGCTCGCGAAGGCGGGCGCGGCGATGCACGCCATCGCCGACGAGGAGGCCCGCCTGCTCCAGGGCTGCCAGGCCCGCACCCGCTTCGCGGCGCGCTTCGCCGCCGAGTTCGAGGTCCAGGACACGGAGTCGGGCTTGCGGGACCTCACCCCCTACATTGCGGCGGAGCTCGACGGCGAGGCCGACCCCCTGTTCGCCGCCGCGGCGGAGCCCGCCCCTGGGACAGGTGGATTCAGCCCACCGAAGTTGCAGTCACAGGGGCGCGGCCAGTTCGGGAAGAAGCACGACGTGGAGGTGCGCGCGGCTGACATCGCCGAGCTGGACGCGCTGGTGGCTGCTCCTGACGGCGCGGCGCTGGTGCGCGGCAGCGGCATCTCGGAGCCCATCGAGCTCCCCGAGGGCCGCGAGGCAGCCGCCGCTGTCGGGCACGCCGCTGGCGGAGGCCCTGGGCAGCCGCCGCGGCCTGCAGACAGCAGCCTGCCGCCCCCAGCTGCCCCCTTGGCGCGCCGCCCGCGGCAGGTTCGCCAGGCGCCACGCGACGCGGAGCACGTCGCGCTGTGTGGCGATGGCAACGTGAAGGAGATCGACGCGGAGCTTTGCGGTGGCTACGCCGAGGCGCAGGCCTCGGCGGCTGATGGCGGCCCCCTCCTCGCCACGGCGGCGGCCCTGGCAGCGGCGGCGGCTGCTGGCGCCTCCAGCTCGCGCCCTTCGCCCAGGAGGCGCCGCCCCGCCTCGGCCGAGTCGCCCGCGGATGCCCTGCGACGTGTCGCCCAGCGCAGGGCGCAGGTGCAGCCGAGGCGCCGCGAGGCCTCAGCCCCCGCGCCCTGCCCGCGCCTGGCGGCGGAGGCGGCGAGCAGCGGACCAGCCACTGCGGAGGCGGCTGATGCAGCCCGTCCAGCGGGATGGAGGGTCAACGGCCACCTCCTCATGGAGTCGAGAGTCGTAGGAGACGACTCCGAGCCCTTCTTGGTCTGCGCGGCTTGCTGGATGTACTGCCGCCTCCCCAGGTACGCGCACCGCGGCCTGGGCAAGCAGTGCGGGGCCAGCGCGGCGGCTGGGCAGCCCAAGTGCAAGAAGGGATCCAGAGCCCAGGCGCGGTCGGACTTCGCTCGCGGCATCCTGCCAGCGTCGAAGGAGCCGATCGCGCCGCTTGCCTCGCCAACGGAGTGCACGCGCCGGCTCTGGGCGGCGGCACTCCAGGCCAGGCAGGGCCACGGCGCGGAGGGGCAGGCGCTCGTGGCAACGCCCGTGCCAGCGCAGCGGCTGCCAGCAGCCGCCCAGCCCCCACCGCCTGCGGCTGGCGCTGGGAGCCAGGCGGCTGCGCCGCCGAGCGCCGCGGCTACGCGGCGGCTGGCCGCGGCGGCCCCGCGGGAGGAGGCCGCCGAGCTGCGGCGGTCCCGCCCAGGGCTCGAGGGTGTACGTGGAGCCCACGGCTTCGCGGACGCAGCGGCGGCCCGCGAGCGCGGGCGAGCCGCGACGGCAGCGCCCGCCCGCGCAGGCCGCGCGGGGACGCGCGCCGCGGGCTGAGGCGGCCTCGGCAGGCGGCTGTAAGCGCCCGCGCGGCCCTCCGCCTCTCCGCCTTGAATTTATGCAAGAACCCGCCGAGCCCGCTCGGCGCCCACACAGCTTAAACAGGAAAAAATGCCCCCACCGTATCTGTTCCGCCTCGGTCTTCGAGGCGGGATTGTCTTTGTCCGTTGCTTGGCCTTGCCCCCGTGTGGCCAGCACGGTTTGTTGCGTGGTGCGCCGCCCCTCCAGGAGCGAAGGCCCGCAGTGGAGGTGTCCCGGGACCGACGAGATTGACGAGCGAACAACACACGCCCATGCCCATAGGGGGGGGTCGTTGGGAGCAGGATTGGCTATGGGTATGGGTGCGGGTTGTCGACCCTGGGTGCGCTCCCGTTCGAGCGGGGACACCCACCCGACAGCGCGCACCCATAGCCCTCTCCGACCCCCCTATGGGTATGGGTGTGTGTCGTTGGTTCGTCAGAAATGGCCCTTCGTCTCACCCCTGGAATGCCCGATTCCACAAATTCCTCGCGCTGGCAATTTTGAGCGGCGTTCTGTCTTGTCCTTGCTGCATGCGTCCAGCGGCATGAGGCGGCCCCGCGAATCTTGTCAGCAGCCCGCTCGGAAAGGCTCGAGGGTCTGAATCGATTTGGCCGTGGGCTCCCGCCAAGGCGGGAAAGGATTCTCCTCGTTGAGTAAGGTGAGGCCGCCAGGCTACCACACCTGGGAGCCGAGCGTGCGCCAGAGCGCCATAGCGCCCTTCTCCTCCTCCTCCTCCTCCTCCTCCGCCTCCTCCTCCCTGCCTCCTCCCTGCCTCCTCCTCCTCCTCCTCCTCCTCCTCCTCCTCCTCCTCCTCCTCCTTCCGTAGCCATTTTGGCTCAAGTCCGTCCCCTCCGTGGGATCTCGGACTTGGGCCGAAATGGATTCCACAGCGGTCTCGCCCAAGGCCCCCCTGGCCGAGCGTTGCGCCGCCCGCCGCCGTGGACCGCGCGTCCATCTGTCCATGCTCTCGCACGCTCGGGTGATCCCGCTGCTGCTGTTATTGACCTGCGGCGTCGTCATGCCCCACACGCGGTCGCCAGCTGCACTTCATATTCGTCGTCGTCGTGCCTCTCAACGCGGCCTGCGTCGCTGTCGGGATGGCGGACGCGTCCATCTTCAGCTCGCTCTTCTTCTTCGCGACGAACGACGGGCACTGCCAGGCGCCCCAAGACAGCTCTTCCCCCTGGGCGTGTGCATGAGCGACGAGGTGTCGAAGGTTGCACGCTTCATCCAGGTCCTCCGCGAGCGAGCCGCACCAGGACACGGAACTGGTCCGCTCCCACATCTCGCCCGTGCTGCCGCTGCTCCCCACGCCCGTCCGCATGTCCCTCAGCTCGGAGTGACTGGTCACGTCCTGCCGCCTGGAGTGGCCGACGTTGCCCCGCATGGAGCTGGTCCCCTTCCTCCGCCAGTTCGTCAAACTGCACGTCAAGCTTACCATCCAGTTGAATTCGATGCCGATGGGGTCGCCGACGATTTTCTGCATGACCCACGCCCCGTTCTTGGAGCCGCCCTTGGCTGTGTTCCACGCGACGGAGCTGCTCATGGGGCCTTTCGCCACGGAGCTGGACCGCTTCCACACCACGTTCTGCAACCTGGATCTTTGCTCGCCGCTGCCGACGGTGGCGCCAGTCTTCGAAGGGATGCCCTTCCTGCTCTTCGTCCCCTTGTTCGTGAATGGCGGCGAGCGGCTCGCCGTAATATCCTCCTCGCGAACAGGCCTCTCATCCGCTTCTTCGACGAGTGGTACGACCTCGTGTTCGAGGGCACCTTGTCCACGGTAGGCACTCAGCCCTCCGCTGCCACCGACGGTGGCGTCCATCTTCACGACGAACCTCTGCCTGAACATGTTCCTGATGCGCCTCGTGTTGCGGCTGCCGCCGACGGTGGCGACCACCAGCATGAAGAACTACTGCCTGAACCCGTGCATGATGAGGCCGACGGTGGCGATCATCTGCAATATGTGCCTCTGCCTGAACCCGTTCGTGGTGTGCATCGTGCTGCCGCTGACGCTGGCGGTGGCGATCATCTGCTTCAGGAGCTTCTGCCTGAGCTCGTTCGTGATGAGTTTCCTGCTGCCGCTGCCGCCGCCGGTGGCAGCCATCTTCTTCAAGAACTTTTGCCTGAACCCGTTCGTGATGAGCTTCGTGCCGACGCCGCCGCTGCTGGCGGCGACCATCTGCGTCAAGAGCTTCAGCCTGAACCTCATCGTGATGACCACCGTGCTGCCGCCGTCCCCGTCGGGCCTCCGCATGAACCTGATCGTGCTCACCATCGCGCTGCCGCTGCCCCCGACGGTGGCGACCATCTGCATGAAAAACGTCGACCTGAACCCGTTTGTGTGGAGCCGCTGGCAACCGCCGCCGCCGACGGTGGCGACCACGGCTGGGCTGCCCCTGGTGCCCCGTATCTGCGTCGAGCCGATATTCTCCGCCTCCGCTGCTGCAGCACGGCCCTTTCTGGGCTGGCAGAGTCCCTGGTGGATCCCGACGCCGCCCTTCATGATGCTGCACGTTCTGAGGCCCCGCGTGACTGCAGGCCCGTCGGAGTGGCCAGCCCTGCGCCCCCTGTCTCGCTCACCCCGCCTCTTCCCCCCATCCCAGTGTTTCCCACGTTCCCGAATGCAGATCATGATTTTCATAATGCTTCGCACGAGTTACATCTTTCCGCTCCCCGTGCATGGCCCCATGCGGACGGCCAGAGCGTCGAGCGACTGAAGCCAGCTTGGAAGTAGTCGTAGCGGCGGTCGGACGAGATCGGGATCACTTGCCCTCTTCTCGTGTCTTGCCCGCTTGCCCTCGTCTCTTCCTCTCTGAGTACTTGCACTCCTCCTCCTCCTCCTCCTCCTCCTCCCCCCTGTCTCCTCCTCCTCCTTCCCTCCCTGTCCCTCTCCCTTCACCGTCCTCATCCCCCTCCCTCCCCTCCTCGATCCTCTCTCTCCTCCCCCCCCTGTCTCTCCCTCTCCCCACTCCTCCATCTCGGGGGCCCGCGGAGGCGCCGCCGTCGCCTTCGCCTGGCCGCGGCCCGCCAGCCGCGGCCCCCGCGGCGCGCAGCGGCGGACCGTCGGGCGGAGATCTGGATGCAGAGACTTCGAGAGCACACGGGGGCGAGTGGGAAGGGGAGGTGGCCAGGGCCGGGGCCAGCCAGGGCGGGCGGCTGGAGCTGGGGCCAGGACCTTTTTGTGTGTTTTTGTGTTTTTGTTCTCCACCGTGTGTTTTTGTGTGTTTTTGTGTTGTGTTTTTTCCCCCCCGTGTGTGTGTGTGTGTGTGTGTGTGTGTGTTTCTTTCCCCCTGTGTGTCTTCTTTCCCCCCACAGACTGTGTGTTTTGTTTTTTTTTTACCCGCCCAGGGACCGAGGCCAGGGGATGGAGCTCTGAGCTCCCCTGTGCTCTAGAACCGGGGTGCGTTGGGTGGGGGTTGATGTTGCGCCAGTGGGGCGCCGGACTCGCTCGCAGCATCGGCTGCGTTGCTGGGGGGCAAGGATCGGCGGCGAGCGAAGGGGGGGAGTGGGAAGGAGACTTCTCAGAAGGCGGCGGGACTTCTCAGAAGCCCTCGCGCCTTCTGAGAGGTTTCCTTTGTCTTCGGGGAAGGCTTCGGGAACCTCTCACAAGGCCGGGAAACTTCCGAGCCTTCTCATAAGGCCCGCCCCTTTTCACTTCCCCCCCAAGCGCGCCGGGAGCAAGGAAGGGCAACGTCGGGGGCATTAGCGGAGGTTTTCGCAGGTGTTCCGCTGCTTTCCAGCCTCGAATTGCTCTCTGGCAGCTGCGCCTCGACCAGAGCGTTTCGCCGCCAGAGATCCGAGCCATGGTCGCCCGAAAGCCCTGGGGCAACGGCAAACGAGTCCGAAAAACAAATCAAAACAAGAAAAGGCGAACGCCCAAGACGTTACGAACAAATCAAGGCAAGAGGCGCACATCTCCAACAGCATGTGTTTTTCAATCCAGTAATGGACCCCGCTTCCGCTGGAACCCCGGCGCAGAAGCCGCCGCAGTCCCCGCCGCGCCAGCTCACCCAGGGAGTGATCCGTCCCCCCTGAGTGGCCCTCGCTTTCCCCACCCCCCCTGCGGCCGCCCGCTGCGTCCCTCCTCATCTTCCTCTTGTATGCTGGCCAATTCGCTACAACGGTGCCCCCCGTTTGGTTAGCTTTTTCCGCCAGCGCAGACGACCCTGGCCTAGCCGCCGACGCAAAAGGTGTTTTTCAATCCGGGCATTTTCCATGGATGTTTGCCTCTGGGCCCACAGCTGGACCTTGGGATCCCGGCGGGAAGCTGCCCCAGGGAATGTGTCGGGACTCCAGGGGCCGCGACTTGACGCAGAAGTTCCAAAGCCCACATTACAGTCGGGGCGCCGAAGAAGGAACCGCTTTCGTTGGGGAGGGGCTCTTGGGGAGGGGCTCGGTGCTCCTCAATTGTTCGGCAGTTCGCCGAACCTTGTGTCTTAGGTTTCGGATGGGAAGTCGAAATTCAATGTATGAGAAAAAGGGCCTCGTTCCTCATGTAGGGTTCCTTAGGTCAACGCCCCGACAGTATCATGGCGAAGCGCACACCCATATGCAAGTGTTGGTACCATATGGGGCCAACACTTGCATATGGGGCGAAACTCCATATGGGGCCACGAAGCGTCAGAGGGGGTGCCACAATTGGCGGCGGGGGGTGGGGCGCATGCGGGCGCTGTCACTGTGGCCTTCGGTGGAGCTCCCTATGGGGCCACGAAGAGCGTGAGGGGTGTTTGCGAAGATGGGCGGGAGGGGTGCGTGCGGGCGCTTCCACTGGGGCCTTCGGTGGCGCTCCCTATGGACCATAAAGCGTGTCTCGGGTGTGCCAAACGGATGCTGATGACGATTGTGATGACGATGGCGATGTTGATGTTGATGGTAAGGGCGCTGTCTGGAGGCCCCTTTTTTTGATGGGGGGGGGGCAACGAGCAACGGATGGCCCCTGTGGGGCCCCCATGGGCCCCGCAGGGGCCCTCCGTTTTCTGTTGCCCGTTGAAAAACACCCCTGAAGAGACCCGCATGGGTCCCCAAAGGTCCTCCCAGGAGGAAGAGAGAGCGGAGGAGGATGAGGAGGAGGAGGAGGAGGACATCCTCAGATGTCCGAGCGGTCCACGGGAGGAAGAGGACGACGACGAGGAGAAGGGAGCGGCAGGTCAGCGTTTAAGCCCAACCTTGGGCACTCCGCTCTCGTCGTGATCCTCATTTCGCTCACCTCGTATTTGGAGGGGTTCGAAGGTTTACAGTGGGGGCCCATGCCAAGAAACACCCTGCCTGCCTCATGGGTGCCCTGGGTTAATTGGGTTTCGATGGCTTTTCTCTGGAAAGCGTGACTCTCCCGCACCAAGAATCGATGGACGTCCTGGGGTCTCAGGGTTGGGTTTCTTGTGGACGGTTTCTTGTGGTCGGGGCCCTACTGTAGGGGAGGACTAAAGCTGGAGGAGGAGGAGGAGGAGGAGGAGGAGGACCGTCTCGAAGTCCGTGTGTGCCATGTCGGCAGCACCACGGTCAGCCACAGCAGTTGGCCCTCTTGCTCAGCTGCCGTGTCGACGAAACGATCTCCGCAGCAGCACTGTCTTCCTCCACTTCCTTATACCTGTCCTCCACCGTCCTCCACCTCCACCTCACCTCCACCACCTTCCTCCTCCAACTTCCTCCACATTCACCTCCTCCCACTCCACCAGAATATACGCCTGTTTTCCTCAAGTTCTTTACTCCTCACAGTCACTCTTTACTCATCGCATTCCTTGTCCTCACTCTTCGTGCTCCTCGCCCTGACTTCGCGTTCTGCTGAACCTCACTGCCCGGACTACTTGCGCTATCCGTCCTCTCTCCTAGTGCTCTCCCTCTCTCTCTCTCTCTCTCTCTCTCTCTTTTTTTTGTTCTCTCTCTCTCTCTCTTTCCTCGTGCTCTTCGTCGTGGGTCCTCGTGCGCATCGTCATCACTCCTCGTATGCCTCGTCCTAGTCATTCGTGCTCCCATTCGTGCTCCTCCTTCCTCGTCGTACGATTCGTCATGTCTCCTCGCACTTCTGGTCACTTTGAAGTAATCGTCACTCCTCGTACTCATTGAGGTGGTCATCGTGAGGTCAGCGCGGGTCACCTTGGGATCATCGTGGGACCTCGCAGTGGTCAGTTTCGGGCTATCTTTGTGTCATGTGGGGGCCGCTGGTGTCACGTGAGGATAATACTGGAGTCATTTGGTGGTCATTTCGGCATGGTCGTAGTGGTCCTTCTGGGCTGCCTTCAGATCATGTGTGGTGAAGCACAGCGGATTCAAGGAGCACCTGCAGAAATCGAATGAATGTCGGTGGAGACTTGAGAAGCCATACAGGAACCAATGGGAATCAGAGGAACACCATAGGAGAGCTTAGGGGAGACCAGAGAAATCCGTAATAAGGATTGGTTTGAAGGATTTCTTATCGAAGGCGACTACGGCGAATCACTGCCGCCCCCTGCTTCTTTAGAAGAGCCTATGTGACCGAAAGTTGGGCAAGAGCTTAGTCAAGCTATCTGGCCATGTGTTCCCCCAGCCGTCGTTGAAACCCTTCGGGGAACACGTGAGGAAGAGGAGAATGAGGAGAAGAAGGACGAGGGAGTAGGAGGAGGAGGAGGAGGAGGAGGGGAGGAGGAGGAGGAGGATGATGATGATGATGAGGAGGAGGAGGAGGAGCAGAAAAAGCAGGAATATACTTCTTGGGAGCCTCTTGGGGCACTCTTGGGCTCTCCTGGGAGCTTCCTGGGAGCCTCTTGGACGCCTCTTGGGGGTCTCCTTCGGCCTCTTAGGGGCTTTTCGGGGCTTGTTCGGGGCCTCTTTGGCCGTACTTGGGCGTTCCTGTGCCGACGGCGCCGTCGTGAGCCGTCTTGCGGGCCCCTCTGGACCGCCTTGGGGCCCTCGTAGGGCGCTTTGGGGCCGTCTTGGAGGCCATCTTGGAGCGTGTTTTTGAAATTATCTGGGCCAGAACGCGCGTTCTATCCCCCATCCCCCTCCCCATGAAGTAACGCACCCCCCCCTTCCCAGGTGCGCCTCCGGCACTGCCATTCTGGTGCTCGCAGGCTGCTGTGGTGCTAGCAGGCTACTTCTACGTTCACGGCTCAGCGTGACGTTGACAGCCGCATTGCTTGTGCTCGCAGACATGGTGCTGCGCTTGCAGGCTGTTGTCGTACATGTAGGGTCCAGAAGTGTTTGCGCACGCGCGCGGGATTCACTCGGTATTCTGGTGCTGGCAGGGCCGCACGAGATGTGGTAGAGGCATTGGCAGCAGAAGTAGAGGCAAGAGTCGCAGCAATACAAGTAGATTAAGTGATATCAGGATGGGGAAGTGATTGTTGTTGTACTTGTCGTAATTGTTGTCGTCGACGTCCGTAATATTCGTCATCGTGGTCGTCGTATTGTCGTCGGGATCGGAGTCGTAGTAGTCGTCCTGGTTGGCGTTGGCTTTCTGGGTGCGGTCGTTGTTGTCGTCGCGATCGTCGTCACGATCGTTGTAGTAGCTGTCGTCGTCGTCGTAGTTGTAGATCGTGGGTGGTTGCACCCTTACAGCATTATGCACGCTTGTACCTTAAGTCCTTGAGGCATAAGATGTTCTGAGGGTCGAAGAAAAAATGCATAAACATCACTTGTCGGAGCTCCTTGGGGATTTCTGAAATCGGCGCTGGGCTCCCCTGGCGGCGCCTCTGGCGACGCCCCTGGCGCGCCCTTCGCGGGCAGGGAGGGGGCTTCAGCGCAGATCCAAGAAGTCCGCGCAGGCGCTGAGACGGACGGGGTTGCTGTGGTGCATGCATGCGTCGCGGCGCACGCATGCATGTTGGTGCACGCGTGCAGCATGCATCGGACACAGGCAGTGCGGTACAGATTTGAGACAACTTTCGTGCTGTGCTTCGGCTCTGGAGGCTGTAAAAGCAGAGCACTCTAGCTCCATTCATTGTGCAACGTAGATGCAACACAGCGGCAGCTAATGCCAGCACAAAATCATGCTCGAAGGAGAGTGTAGAGGATGTAAACACTGTGGTGCTGCACGATGGTGCACGTATGCGCTGCGCAGTACATAGGCGATATAGTGCACGT